TGAGCTGATATCTGGCCACTGCACTCCAGTCTGGGCGACAGAGCGAGACTCCGTCTCAAAAAAAACAAAAAACCAAAAAATTAGCCAGCCATGGTGGCAGGTGCCTGTAATCCAAGCTACTCAGAAGACTGAGGCAGGAGAATCACTTAAACCCAGGAGGTGGAGCTTGCGGTGAGCTGAGATTGTACCATTGCACTCCATCCTGGGCAATAGAGGAGACTCCGTCTCGAAAAGCTGGATGTAAATGTTGTAACGTTCACATTGCTATACAAGATCTATCCCATGGTATGATATTTGGGTCATGCCCTGGTTATTCACCCTTGACAGTGAAGACTTTGAGGGGTGGGGATTAAGCCAGGCTCCTCCATGAACCTTAAGAGCTAAGGTTGGGGACATTTCTGAGCACTGAGAAGCTGTTCTAGCTATACCCATTTTCATTTGAGTCCTGGGCAGACAACTAGAGAGCCCTTATGAGGTGCCACCTGTGGGCCTGACAAGTTTGGGAATGAGGCCCATCTGCCAGTGACATTGATGTCGACACAGCCCACTCGTCCTCCCGGGTGCTGAGTGAGTGCGGAGCTGAGTCCTCTGCCTGGGAAGAGGAGTGTGTTCCTGACAGAATTGCAGGAGAGTGCTGGCAGAAGCGGGATGTTTTCTGTATCTTGAGGATTTACTGTCCCTCACGAAACCATCCTACGTGACTTTTGCAAGCCAGCCTCAGGCACAGAGTTCCCACCCACCCACACCTCATGCTCTTCTGCAAGGCTGGATGGTAAAGTCCTATCTCAGACATTACCCCGTGATTTCCCAAACAACCCTGGGAAGTGGGCAGGGCAGGTGTTATTGTCCCCACTTGATGAAGAAGGAAACTGAGGCCCGGGGAGTTGAACAGGCTGCCCAGGGTCCTGGCTCGTTAGTGGTAGGGCTCTGACTAGACTCCCAGTCTCCTGACACCAGCCCAGAGGAATTTGGAGAGTGAAGGGAAAGGGCTTCATTCCTGTTTAGAGTTGTCCCAGGCTCTTTGGAGCTTTCTGACAGGAAGCTTTCTAAGGTGAGACCTGAGGTGGCAGGTGGAGAAACATGAACTGAAAAGGCAGCTCCTTGTCAAGCCCATGAAACTTTGATAGCAGGTTAGGACCAGGAATCGGGCCTCCTACCAGCCCCGTGCTGCAGTAGACCATGCATAGGTATTGATTGTTGCTATGGTGGGGCAGAGATACTAGAATACGTGTGCTTTGCATGTGTATACCAGATTCCAGTATTCCCATCGTTTTTGATTTAGTGTTAGCAACGACCTTCATTAGAGGTTGAATTGCTCCCCTCTGCTCCCTTCCTGGATGACATTCTGGGTGGCTCTGTCCTAAAGTGGACAGGCCCTTGCCTCCCACCCATCATCCCTGTAGCCTAGCTGGTGACTTCTCCACTGTGGGGCCTCAGCTTCTGGCTGCAGAGCCTTCTGTATGCAGACAAGGGCCCGTTGCTGTCATGGTCTTCACCTGCCTTTGGGTTGGCTGGGCCCTCTGATGGGCATACTAGAGCCACCTCAGGTTCTGCTTTTGTGCAACTGCTGAGTACGGTGGGCAGGGAGTGCCTGACTACAAATTTTCACTCCTGTTATCCTCCAAAAGCTAGAGTAATCTTCTGTCTTGATTTGCAGATTCATAACACAGCGGTTAGACTGGTGAAGCCCTCAAGGAAAAATCATGCTGATGGGAGACAACCCCTCCCCTCTGATTCCCTTTCTTTACTCCTTTCCTGAGGTGATCAGATCAGAGAACTATGGGGAAGTGTAATACTGAAAAGGAGGAACTAGTATGAGTAACAGTGGTGTAGTTTCTTCATTTGTGAAATGGAGATAATCAGAAAGCTGTCGTAAGTCAATGGTTCTCAGCCCTGGCTGCATGTCAGTTACCCAGCGGGCTTTTAAATAACCCACATCTTCAGGCCCAAAGCCAGGAGGTCAGAATCTCTCAGGGTGAGACTTAAACACTAGGAATTTAAAAATTCCCCAGGCAATATCAATGTGTGGCCTGGGTTGAGAACTACTTCTCTAGGATTAAAGGAGTTGGCTAATTGCTTGGAATAGAGATATTTTCACATCTGGCTGTGCGTGGGAATCATTGGGGGCAGGGAGTAGGGGAGGGATAGGGTGGTGCTTTTAAAATTAAACTGAAGCTGGGTGGTGTGGCATGCACCTGTGGTCCCAGCTACTAGGGAGGCTGAGGTTGGGAGGATTGCTTGAGCCCAGGAATTTGAGGCTGCAGTGAGTTATGATCACACCACTGCACTCTAGCTTGGGCAGCAGAGCCAGACCCCATCTCTAAAAATAAATAAAATTAAACCAATTCCCTGGTTTTACATTCCAGACCATTTGAATCAGTGACTTACGTCTCTGGGTGTCTCTTGCTCAGCGTTCGCATGAACCACTTGTGAGTACCATGGGCCAACATTACAAATATTTCCAGTCTTCACAACTTTCTAGCAGGGAATCCTGATTCCTGTTTGACAGATGAGCAAATCTATGTTCAGAGCAGGTGAAAGCATAAGTCCCTGAGGCCAAGCCTGTCTGACCTTGAAGCCTGGGGTCTGGATCTGGTAGAGGGTGTTCTCCACTCTTCTGGAAACAGCCCAAGGAGTGGGGGACACCAGCCAGCGGCCTTGGCTCCCTCTGAGGCTCCCCTCCACAGGTTGAGCAGAAGGCTGTGCCTGAGTGAAGACAGGTGAGATGAGTGGTGTTGTGTGGTATTTGGTGCCATCTTAGTCACCCACTCTTAAAATGCCTCCGTTTGGGGAGGGGAAGATGCCCATGCAGTGGGCCTGCCGCGGTCGCCACTCGTTGCCACAGCTGTCTTGCAGAGAGAAAACTCAGGCAGGAAAGCAAACACTCATTTGCTTTTTGAGAGTTTGGGGAATTTTTCAGGCATGCGATATGGAAAAAAATGCCTCTGTTTCCCTCATAAGACAAAGGGGAAACAATGTCAAGGTGGCCTGAAATGTTTGGCTCTAGTTTGCAAAAGCTTTTCTGCCCCTTCACAAGTCCTAAGGCTGTCAACACAGTGTGGGACTGGGAGCTGGGGGATTTGGATGCCAAGCCAAGCTCTGCGCCACCACCTGTGTGCTCTATAAACCTAAGTGTATCCCTTACCACCCTTAAGCTTTGCTTTCCCCACCAGTCAAGTAGGAGCTCAGGAATTCTGTGACAAGGTCACAGGGACTCTGAAATGCCAGGCCCTGTCAGTGGCCACTTGAGGTGTCAGAGGGAGAGGAGAGGCATGTGGCTGTCTTGACACTGAGACTCAGAGCCACCTGGGCCTGGAAGTTCAGTCAAATGTTTGTTGGCACCTACCAAGGCACCCGCTGTCCTCAAGGTCCAGAGTGGCTCCAAAAGACCATATGTGTTAGAGATCACACTGAATGTGTTCACTCTGGCTCTGGGAGGCCTGGCTCCACTCCATTTGCATCAGCCCCTAGTGTGTGGACATTTCAGAGCCAATATTTGGAACTGAAATAGCTGAAACTTTAGAGTCAGTGGACGATGTAAGATAAATTTGGCTCCACAAAGCATTCTCTGCCCAGTCCAGCCCCCAGGGTCTTCTCTCTCCCCAGAGCTCCATCTGTACCTATTGTCTGTGCCTTTGGTCCCTGCCCAGTAGTGCCCAGCACAGATCCTGGCACAGAGTGGATGCCCAGACAGTGTTGAGTGACTGGAGGTTGAGGGGATGGAGAGATGCATGAGTTTGTGTTTGGGAACGTCTCTGAAGTGGCTGCCATAGAATGCTATGTAAGTGTTAGTCTATCTGTTGCTTGCTCAACTTGACTTCGTTGTTGTTATTGCCACTCTGGGTATTTTGAAGACTGTCTCACTGAGGATGATGCTAATGATGGAGTGGTCCAGATGCAGTGCTATTTTGCCATTTTCTGCAGTTGGGGCAAATATCCCAAGCATTTCCTTGTATGTAGCTTTTACCCCAGAGCCACTAAGAGCGTACCTCATAAGTCTGGAGTCTGCTGGCCTCTTATTAAGCCATTAAGCTGAACCAGAAAACTTTCTCAGTTACCTAAGCAGTGGGTATTTCGAGTGGCAAGAAAACATGGGACAATGATGGCAAATGGCAATGGGAGGACCCCCGGGCAAGATGGCCACTGGGAAGTCTCTGGGTACTTAGATCAGCTCCTGCTGGTCACTGAACTGAGGTGCAGAAGCAGGTGGTTGGTGCCCTTCCCTGTGGGGAGGACCCCTGGAGCACTCAGGGAAGCTGGCTCAGGGCTGCCTGCTGCTCTGCCATGGACTCCATTTCATGGTTGCTGTCTCTGTCCCTGGAGTGAGGGGTTTCTGAGCCCAGCCCTGGGTACCAGTGCCTGAAGGGGACTAATAGTGGTCTAGACTGCTCTAAACTATCTCAGAGGCTTTGTGGACAGCTGGTTGGTTATCTGACTTTAAGGCTTGGCTTTGCCATTAACTCTGCGATGACCTCAGGTGAGTCACAGGACCTATCCTTATGCCTCAGTTTCCTGATTGTACACCTCTCTGTTTATACCAAGTCCTCTGACTGTGATGCTCCCCCACTATGGTGATTAACCTTGTTAGGTTGCCTCCTCTCCAGACTCCGCCCAAACCTGGATCCCCGCCAGCCCAGTCTGCTTATGGACATTGTGATTTCATCTGGTGGATCCTAGACTTGGGTTCTAGCTGAGACTTTGCAATGACAAGACTGTGTCACCTGATCAATAACCTTTCTGGGCCTCAGTGTTCACCTCTGTACACTGGGACTGACAATACTAACATTCATTCCTCATAGAAGGAATGGACAGAAGGGAAGCCCAGTCCCTGCCGCATCTCAGCCACAGGTTGTCATCCAGGTGGGGATGCAGACTGGTGGTGTGATTTGTCCTGTCCTGGCAGAATCACTCTGAATTTGTGTGACCTGGTAGCTGACAGTGGGGTCACTTCCCCAGTGACCACAGTGACGACCTCATCTTGTGGGTCCATGTCCCCACAGTGGCCAGTTTGCCATCGTGAAGAAGTGCCGGGAGAAGAGCACGGGGCTTGAGTATGCAGCCAAGTTCATCAAGAAGCGGCAGAGCCCGGCGAGCCGGCGCGGTGTGAGCCGGGAGGAGATCGAGCGGGAGGTGAGCATCCTGCGGCAGGTGCTGCACCACAATGTCATCACGCTGCACGACGTCTACGAGAACCGCACCGACGTGGTGCTCATCCTTGAGCTGTGAGTGGGGTCCCCAGGACCCACAGGGTTAGGGGGCAGCAGGGGCAGGCAGGGCGGTGGAAGCTCCAGTCACAGGCCCCAGGGGGCAGCAGCAACCAGGCCTAAGCTCAGCCCAGAGGAGATGAAGTCAGTGGTGGGCAGATCTCCTCTGCCTCAGTTACCCCCATCCTCCTCCTGAAACTGAGCCAAAGGAGGGACAGGTTTGCTGAGTAGCAGGGGCAGAGGGCAATGGCCTAAGTCTGGCTTTCACTGGATCCTGGAGATCAAAGGAAAGAAATGACTGCACTGGGGTCTTTTCCCGGCGGGAGAAGCATGTGGGAGGGTGAGGGGGACTGGGGGTGGGGTGGGGCCAGGAGAGGCTGTCAGGGAGGGATGTGTACTATGAAGAAGGGAAGTACAAACATCTCCAGGCTCTGTGAAGCCCTTCTCCAGCCCTTTCTGGGGGAAAGTCCACTGCATTTGTGCTGTGATTGACACCTTTATTGTTATAATAATAGCTATTATTTAGAGAGTCCTACTGTAAGCCAAGAATTTGCTAGGCGCTTTGAATCTGTTGTCTTGTTCAATCTTTAAAGACTATGATGAGGGAAATGTCTTACTAATGCAGACAGGTTATTTTGTATTCATTGTGCAAGCCAAGTACTTCTGTACCTTGTTTAATCCTCATAACGACACTGTCACACAGATACTCTTATTATCCCCATTTTACAGACAAGAACACTGGCAGGCCAGGTCACTTACAAGATCCTATGGCCAGGAAGTGGCAGAACCAAGACTTGAGTCCACACGGCTTGTTCAGACAGCTATGAGTGTGAGACGGGTTGGCCTTATGCTGGCTTAGCAGAGGAAGACCTCACAGTGTATGATGGAATTTCGATAGATGAGCCCAAGACTCTAGGGGTTAGCTGGCCACCCGGGTATCCTCCTGGGCAGGTGGGGCTCTGACACACAATAGAGTTTGAGTTGGGTTGTGGCACAAGTTACAGTGGCTGTGTCCAGACAAGCAGCAAGGCCTATGTAAAGAATGTTCTGGCCTGGTGCCGTGGCTCACACCTGTAATCCTAGCACTTTGGGAGGCCAAGGCAGGCAGATCATGAGGTCAGAGTTTGAGACCAGCCTGGCTAACAGGGTGAAACCCCGTCTCTACTGAAAATACAAAATTTAGCCAGGCGTGGTGGCAGGTGTCTGTAATCTCAGCTACTTGGGAGGCTGAGGCAGGAGAATTGCTTGAACCTGGGAGGCGGAGGTTGCAGTGAGCCGAGATTGCATCACTGCACTCCAGCCTGGGTGACAGAGCAAGACTCCGTCTTGGAAAAAAAAAAAAAAAGAATGTTCTGAGGCTCATAAGCACGTATGCACCTTCCTGGTAGTGGGAGTGATAGAATCTCTCAGGAATCCCTGATTTCGTGGCCTTGGGCAAGTCACCTCAATTCCCTGAGCTTTAGATCTCATCTGTAAAGCAGGCAGCCATCCTTAACCTGCCTACAGACTGGGTGGACCACCTGACATTTGAGATCATTCTAATTTGAGAACTATGCTCTGGTATGGGCAGGATATAGATTTAAGTAGCAGATGGGCATTTGCATACTCTCGCATTTGATTCTTAAATTATCCATCTCAGTGTTTAAATGTATAGAATTGCCTGTGCTTTTCCCTTCACTAGCTCCCAGTGTCCTCCATGTTTCTCCCAGGGACCTCCCAGCTGGTTGGATTACTGGATGCCTGCCCTGCCTAACCTGGAGAGAAGCTGAGGGTCAGCAGTCAGCATCCTGATTCCCAGCAGAGAGTGACAAGTGCACCTTGCTGGAAAGGCCGCGCCACTTCTTAAAAATCTATTTTGGGGGAGAAAAAAAACTAAGCCGGAATGGAAAAGAAATTACATTTATAATCCTACAACCCAAACGCAGCTATTTATGTTTTTCTGTGGTTCCTCTCAATCTTTATCTATTTGTATACAATCATTGTACTTGTATAATTTCCTGCTCTACTTTTTCCCTCAGTTAACATAATTCTAAAAATTGGCTTTTCTCTTTTAACTGACAGTGTTTCACTGAATTGCACACCAGTATTTCCCTTGTCTTAGTCCATTTTCTGTGGCTTGTAATAGAATATCTGAAACTGGTTAATTTATAAGGAAAAGGTATTTATTTCTTATAGTTATGGAGGCTGAGGAGTCTGAGATTGAGGGGACACATTTGATTAGGACCTTCTTGCTAATGGGGACTCTCTACAGAGTCCCCCAAGGCAGCCCAGTGCATCACATGGTGAGGGGCAGAGCGGGATATCTCAGTTCTGTCTTATTCTTCTTATATAGCTACCAGTTCCATCCATGATAACTCATTAATCCATTAACCTATTAATCCACTAATGCATGAATGGATTAATCCATTCATAAGGACAGAGTCCTCATAACCCAGTCGTTTCTCTTTCTTTGAGATAGTCTCGCTCTGTCTTCCAGGCTAGAGTGCAATGGCACGATCCTGGCTCACTACAGCCTTTGCCTCCTGGGTTCAAGCTATCTCCTGCCTCAGCCTCCCAAGTAGCTGGGATTACAGGCACCCACCACCACACCCAGCTCAATTTTTGTATTTTTAGTGGAGACGGGATTTTGCTGTGTTGCCCTAACTGGTCTTGAACTCCTGACCTTAGATGATCCGCCCGCCTTGGCCTCCCAAAGTGCTGGGATTACAGGCGTGAGCCACCACACCCTGACCCAATCATGTCTCAAAGGTCCCACTGCCTAATACAGCCACATTGGGGATTAAATTTCAATGCGAGTTTGTAGGGCACAAACAGTCAAACCATAGCATCCTTATTGTTGGACACATGGTTTTTATTTCCTAGCTTTTAACCATTACAAATTTTACTGATAAAACAACTTTTTTCTCAAGATCTTCCCCTTTTCTTTTTAATTAATCCTTTCAGCAGAGTCCCCAGGATTTAGCTAAAATCACCAGGAATGGGATGACTAGGCCAAAGGCTGACATTTTTGGGACTCAATATCCTCGCTTTTCAAAGATGGTCCTGGTTAACCATTACCACCACAGCGTAGGAGTGTTGCTGTGTGCCTGCGGCCCTGCCAGCCCTGGGTCATTTATTTTGAAACGTGCTTCATTATTTATTGATCTTTATAGCTATAAATTGATACTTTCTTATTGTAACTGGCGTGTCTTTAATTGCTGGGGAAATTGCCTGCTTCTTCCTGTTTGTAGAAGCCTAGGAGTCGGTGGCAGGGGTGTGGCAGGTGATGCTCTTGAGATGTCCATGTTTTTCCCAACAGGGCTCATGGTCAGCCATTATGTGCCAGCTTCTTGTGAGCTCAGGTGCACCATCCGTAACATCAGTTGTCACGCTGGTGCTCCCATGACTTGCTTGGGCCTCTGTGCTTGTTAGTTCTGTCCCGTTTCTGTCTCCCCCTTCACTTCCAAGCTGTCTCATTGTTCTCAGGGTGCCTGTCTATGGATTGCTAAGAATTTATGAGATTGGAGAAGACCCAAGCGTTCTAAGACTTGCCTAACCCATGTATGGCCAGGGTCTGAGAGGGAGGACCTCCCAGGAGAGGAGTTCCTGGGCTTTTGTTTTGTTTGTTTGTTTTTGTTTTTTGAGATGGAGTCTTGCTCTGTCACCCAGGCTGGAGTGCAGTGGCGTGATCTCGGCTCACTGCAATCTCACCTCCCAGGTTCCAGTGATCCTGATGCCTTAGCCTCCCATGTAGCTGGGACTACCGGCATGTGCCCCCACGCCTGGCTAATTTTTTTGTATTTTTAGTAGAGGTAGGGTTTCACTCTGTTGGCCAGGCTGGTCTCGAACCCCTGGCCTCCAGTGATCCACTCGCTTTGGCCTCCCAAATTGCTGGGATTACAGGCATGAGCCACCACATCCGGCCTCATGGACTTTTGTGCTTAGACTTAGTGACTCCTGTTAGGCTGGTCAGAAGTCTTCAGCCTCCTAATAGGTTAGTGGGTTTGCCCAGTGAGTGTTAGTATCCACCTACTCAGTTGAAAGCTGCCCAGTTGCAGGTTTTATGAATGAGTCTACCCTGATTCCACTCCCCATCTCAGCAACTGTTGTCTGGTGCAGGGCTTCCTCCTGCTCTCTGCTAAAGTGGCCAGTACTAGGAGGACATGCCTGGCCCTGATCCCTTTCAGCTGTTATTATCCCATCTGTGACCTCCCTAGAAGCAGCTGCCTCTGGTTATGACTATTGAAGGCAGGACTGGGAAGGATTTTATTGTCCGTGTAAGTTGACTTCTGTATGGGGTATAGAATATATTAAAAATCTCAGTAGCTTAACTCATGTCACATGTGGAACTAGCCCTGAAAAATGTAAGTCTCCCTGTGAAGGTTGGGCCGGCCTTGGAAAGCAATACTGCAGTGGTTGCATACCAGAGAACTGCCTGGCAGAGTGCTCCAGGGTGGCAGTGATGCTTCCCAGGTTCCCGAATTGAGCCCAGCTTCCTGGGCCCAGCAGCTCTGGCAGCATCTTTCCCCCGTCGCTGCCTGTGCAGGTCATTCGTGTATACATTCCCAGAAGAGTCTGAAAAGCATTTCCAGCAGGCATGCCACCCTGCAGGGAGGAAGGAGGCAAAGGTCAGATTTGCAGGAAGAGGATGATCCTGGGAACACTAGGAGAAGAGATGAGGCCAAGTCGTTAGGCTTTGTTTTTCATCTTAAAGAGATGTGGGATGTAAGAGGAAAGAAACTTGGAAGGAGATGGGGGGTGGCTCCAGGGCAGAGGTCTTAGAGGCTAAAGAAATGACACCCAGGCTCCTTGATTAGGCTTCGAAAAGAGGTGACTGAGCATTAATGTGAATGTCCCAGCCTGGGTATCCAGGGCCTAGACGGTGGCAGGTCATCAGCCTCCCACCTTTCTGAGTTTCTGGGGGAGATTCTAGGGGGCACAGTGGCTGTTCCCTTCTTCATCCCAAGGAGGCCATGTCTCACCAGGTCTCCTGTCCAGATCCCACCTTCAAACAGATGACTGATTACTGCCCCCCAAAG